AGAGGTTGGGGGGGACGCGGTGGATGAACGTGAAATCCTCGGCTGCTTTCCGATCGGAGTGCAGTTTTCACCGGTCAGCGTCGCCCGCCGGCACCATGGAGCTTTTTGGGAGCTTCGGCCGGCCCCGCCGCCAGGCCTTGCGGGTAAAAAGTTTTTTTTTGGGGGGAGCACCCCACTTTTAGGGCTGGGAGAGGTAGCAAAGGGCGTGTCGGTGATGCCTCTTCTCCCCCCACGCCGGCACATCCCTGTCCCGGGGAGTTTGGGCAAGAGTCGGAGCCGTGGGAGAGGCGTTTAGGGGGGTACCCCCGCCAAAATGTGGCTGTGACCCCGAGAGGCGTTTGGGGGGGACCCCAACCGAACCGTGGCTGTGCCCCGCCCCTCTCCGGCAGCTCGGCCCGGCAACACCGGCACGGTGAAGACCTTGGGCAACACCTATCAGTTCACGGTGGATGTCAGCGACTTCGCCCCCGAGGACATCATCGTCACCACCTCCAACAACCAGATCGAGGTGCACGCCGAGAAGGTGGGCGCTCCCTCCCTTCCCCGCTCGCCCCCAAAGTGTGGGGGACCCCAAAATCCTCAACCGAGGGACCCCCCAACTCCCACCCGACTTCCTAACAGCCCCAGCCATAACCGCGATGGGGTTTAATTCACCATTTCCTTGTCTTTTTGCCCCGTATTTCACAGGAGCAAAGCCCACGAGACCCAACAAACTCGCACCCTGTAATCACCCCTCTCCCGGGGGGGTGGGAAGCGAAAAAAGCACCTTTGTCCCCCGCAGCTGCCACCTGCATCCTGCCCATTCCCTCGGGAAGATAAATATTAACACCACACACAAGGCGCAACCGCCAGCCTCACCCAAGGGCAAGGAACAACGAGCCTGTGTCCCACCTGCACCCCAAAATCGCCCATTTTCACCCTTTTATTTTTTCCCCCAGCTGGCCGCAGACGGCACCGTCATGAACACCTTCACCCACAAATGCCAGCTGCCCGAAGACGTGGACCCCACATCGGTGTCGTCCTCGCTGGGGGACGATGGCACATTGACCATCCGGGCTCAGCGACAGCCCGCCAAGCACACCGACCACGTCCAGCAAACCTTCCGGACTGAGATCAAGATCTGAGGGGTCGGGGGTCCCTTTTCTCCCCTTCCCCGTCCTCGTTAATTATTTGGGTAATTTGGAAAGGAGGTGGGACGTGGGGTAGGGGACGGGAACGCTCCCCCGCAGGGTCAGACCCATGTCGAGGGGCCGGCATGGAGAGACGCATCCCGGCACCCACTGGAGAAACTCCGGAGGGGAGTCCTGGCTCCGGCAGCTTTTAGCCAGCGAGGGCTGGTGGGGAAGATCCGGCGTGCCAAGAGCCCCGCTGGGAGCGAGGAGCAAGGTTCCCTTCCCCAACCCTCCGCCGGAGCTCATCTCTGTATATACAGCTTGTGATAAATTATTGAGAACACCTCACTGCTGCCTCCTCAGTTTTTTAATGTTTCCTTGATGCTTTTCCCCCAAAAGGGCTGCGGGTTCAGCCCCAAGCAGTGTCGCAGTAAAGGGGTACCATGAGCAATTCCTCCTTCCTGACAAAAACGCGGGCGAGGAGCCGCCCCGGCTCCCCTCCGTGCTCGTGGCCCCGTTTATTTCCAGCCCGGGGTGACTCATTTCTTCCCCGCCGCTCTATTTCTGAGCCATTCCCTCAGCTGTTCGGCCGCCGGCCCACCTGGAAGGTCACCAAATCCTCCTCCTCCCCTCGCCCACCCGCACCCATCGCCCTTGGGGAAGCCCTGGGCAGCAGCGTGAGCCGCGACGATGGTCCCAGCCTGGCTGCCAAACCCAGAAGCTTCTTTTTGTGGGCCCAAAAATGCCCCCCCGAGGGCCGGGCTCCATCTCCCCGTGTATACAAACAACAGCGAGGAGGCTGTGCAGGGCGAGCGGCTGTTTATAGCTACCAAAGGCCGCCCGGCTCGTCTTGCTGCTCCAGCTCTGAGGTCAGCTCGTCCCCGCTTGTCCCCTAACGACTCATGACTTGCATTAACACACCTGCAGCGTCAGGGACGCACACAAACACGCGCGGCTCTTCCATCATCTCGGGTGGTTTGTCTACCGGAAGGCTGCGGCCGCCCCCCCCGCCGCAGGACGCTGCAAGGAAATTAAAAAGTTATTTAAAAAGGTTTTAATGGGTATAAAAGCCCCCGGTACAGCTTAGCCGTGGAGACAAGGAGCAGCGGCGATGCCCTGTCATTGATGCTCTGTGATGGGATGTGTCTGCTCTGCC